GCGCAACGCCCAATGCTCCTAGACTGCGGCGCTTCTGGTTGGAGTCCCGAAGCGGTGCGGTGACAGACCGTGCGGTGACCTCGAAATCCCCCAAGAACTCGCCGCACGGTCCGTCACCGCACGGTGAGGACCCTGGAGGCCCCTGTCGCCCGAGACATCCTCGGCGAGGGACTCGGGTACCAAAACCGTGCGGTGCCCCGAGTCCCCACCGACCCACCACGCGGTGCGGCCACCACACACCGTTTGGGGGCCCTCGATTCTGGCCTGGAGGTGACGATGCGGCACAGCTCCCGGGGCTCCGTCTCGTACTTGGCCACCACCTGGCCGCGCGGCCGCGCGGCCGCACGGGCCCCTCGGCTCGGCGGGCGCGCGCCCGCCCCCCCGTCGGATCGGCGGGCCCGCCCCTCGCCGGCTGGAGGCTCGAGGGAGCAGAGGCTGAGGGCAGCTCAACCCAGCCCCCACCCCCAGCCTGAGGTCGGGCATGTCCCCTTGCAGGCAGGTTTTGGAGGACAGATCAAAAAGCAGTCAAACAGATGCCAATGATCAAGAAAACAGAATCGAAACATCGCCCCCAGACTATTTTTAAACTACTTCTGAATATCCATTCCTCCTGTAGAGGGACATGCCCGACTCAACCCCAGCCAGGACCCGCACTCCCGACCTGATGAGAAACGTAGGCCCTGGCTGGGGGTGGAGGTGTTTTGTTGGTGGTTCTGGGGGCACAGAGCCGCTCTCTCAGCCCCGGCGGAGGACCCCTGGATCACCAGGTCGGGAGTGGGGGTCCTGGCTGGGGGTGGGGTGGGTTGTGCTGTCCGCAGAGGCAAGGCAAGACGAGGAGATGAGAAAGAAGAGCACGCGCTCAAACCTACAGGGAGGAGAGGGAGGAGGAGTGGGCAAGGGCAGGGCGATGAAGACGCTACGGGTGTTGGTGCGAGTCGTCGGACCCCAAGTTTCAAGGGGGGCTCCCCCATTCGAGCGGGGGCCCCGGCCGACGACACACCCCCATCCCCCCTGCGGACTTCCACCCCGAGAGACCTGGGGGGGCGCATCCACATGCGGGTGCTGGCTGTCGGCCCACGAGAAGCGCACCGCGTAGGAGCTCCGTGCAGATCGGCCCCGAGCGATCGGAGAGCCGGGCGCGCCGACGCATCGGCTCGGGCACCGGCCCGCCGTCGCGGGTGGCCCGCCGCGCTGCCACCCACGCGGGCGACGTCTTGCCGCTCGCTTCGGGGAGCACTCTCAGCCGCGGGCGCCCGGTCGGCCAGCAGCTGACCCCTTGGCTCCGCCAGGGGCGCTGCCGATGTTTGGCCCTCCCCCCCCGCTGTCTTGAGGAGGATCGGGGGGGGGGGGACTGCCGCATGCGCCGTCCGCTGTGCGCCCTCTGCGGGCCCCTCTGCGCTTCCAGCTTTCTTGGCCTTCCCTTCCCCCTGGTGGCTGCTGCTGCACGTCGCGTGCACGTCCCTCGCTTTGCCTGCAGGCGCTGCAGCCACCGCTGCTCGCCGAATCAAGTCGGGGTAATTAACTGACAGGATGATTGAGGTCTTCTGGACGTGTTTTTGACGCGTTGAGCTCATGAGCCCGACCTCTGGCGCCGCTTGAAGGTATGCATGGTCTGAGAGTACTCTGGCCGTTCTGCGGCCGCTTCCTCCTCCCGTCTTCGGGGACGCACCGACCCAGGTCAGTCAGGCTTTGCAGGATCCTGCGCAATCCTGCAGCATCCTGCAGGATCCTGCGCCCTAGCCTGGGTCAGTGCAGCCCTGGCTCTGCAGGATCATGCAAGATCCAGCGCTCTGGCTGACCACCGTTTGCAAAGGCCCTCGTTTCAGGGCTCCCGACGTCTTGCCCATCCTCTGCTTCCGCCGAAATCAGCTGCGGACGCGTCCCGCTCCTAGCCGACCGCTTGACGGATCCAACCTGCCGCTCTGACCACACGAGTTTCTGACGCGCCTGGCCTGCATGCAGCTCTCACGCGTGCTCCGCCCCGCTCTCTTTCGGGATTCACGAAAGGGGGGGGTGACCGTGAGGGGGGGCATCATGAGTTCGATCCGCTGGTGCACCGAACCACCGCAAACAGATGCCCCCCCGCATGCCCCACCTATCGGCAACAATCGGGAGCTGCCGGCGGCTGGGGGGCATCTGTTTTGGGCGGTTCGGTGCAACAGCCGATCGAACGCGCACAACACAAACCGGGGGGCACACACCCCTTTTGCGCGATCTCGATCTTGCCCGGTCCCTTCGCCTTCTCTCCGCACCGAGGCCCGATGCTCCAGGACCGAGGACTGCTCCACTCCAGATCGAGGGACCGAGGCCGACGCCGTCGACAACCGCGCATGGGGCCCCGCACCTGGACCTCGGTCATCCGCCTCCGCCTTCTCTCATCCGCACCCGAACCCCGTCCTCCCCCTTCTCTCATCCGCCTCCGCCTTGGGCCGTTCCCCCGCTCTCGGCCTTGCCATGTGGAGCATGTGCCTGGGCAGGTCGTCACGATGTTGGTTACGACGCCCCAGAGCCGGTCCTCGGATCGTAACGTCGGCTCTCTGGCGGTTGCTCCGAGCGCTTCGGGGCAGCCCCCCAGGGTCGCCCTCAGGGAGGCGCCTGGCTGCTGGAGTGCCTCCCGGAAACCAGCGGAAACGTTCGAAAACGTTTGAAAACCTCCTGGAGCCGACGGAAACAAGAAGAAGGAAAAGAAGAAGACGAAGAAGAAGAAGCAGAAGAAAAACAAACTCCATAAGCCTAAACTTTTGGGGCTCCGCGCGGATTTCTTGGAACTGCGCTGGACCCCCCTCCCTGGCGCGCGGAGCGCGCCAGGGGCGGCGCCGGAGGCGCCGCGGGGGGGGGGGCCCAGCGCGGATCCAAGAAATCCGCGCGGAACCCTAAAGGTTATGGTTACGGGTTTGTTTTTCAAGAAACGTCCGAAAACCCCATTCGAAGCTCGACGTCGTCGCCATGCCAGCGCGGGGAAGCCTCGACGCGCCGCCTGGGGCGCCAGGGCCGGCCGCGACTGCGCGGAGGGGGCCCCTTTTGACGCCAGGTCGAAAACGCTCGGACACCTCCTGGAGCCGACGCAAACGACCGAAAACCCCACACGAAGCTCGACGTCGTCGCCGCGCCCGCGCGGGGAAGCCACGGCGCGCCGCCTGGGGCGCCAGGGCCGGCCGCGACTGCGCGGAGGGGGCCCCTCTGGACGCCAGCCAGCGCGCCAGCGGCTCCGCCGGCTGCTGGTGCGTGGCGACGCCGCGCTCGGGCAGCTCGGGTGCGAGCGCCCTCGGTAAGGGGCGGCGTGGGCGTGGCCGGCGTCGCCGTCGTCGTCGTCGCCGTCGTCGTCCTCCTCCTCCTCCTCCTCCTCCTCGTCGTCGTCGTCTTCGTCGGTCGTCGTCGTCGTCCTCCTCCTCCTCCTCCTCGTAGTCGTCGGCGTCGTCGTCGACGTCGTCGTCGTCGGTCGTCGTCTTCCTCGTCGTCGTCGTCGTCGTCGTCGTCGTCGTTGTCGTCGTCCGTCGTGGTGGTCCGTCGTCGTTTTTGTGCCTCTTGAGGCGTCCTGGAGGCTTTCTGTCGCTACACGGCCAACTCCGCCTCTAGATCCTGGCCTGTGCGTACCGCAAAGCACAGGTCCCTCAAGAACCGTGCGGGGGTGGGACGACGTCGCCGCCGTGCCGTGTGTTCCCGCAGGGCGGACAAACGAGTCCGCGGAGGAGAGAGGGAAGGAAAGAAGGGGAGGTGAGAGGTAGGCCGGCAGGACGCACTCCGGAGACGCATCCGTGGTCAGAACATGTGGGAATTTCAAGCGGCGCTGCAGGAGAAAGAAGGAGGAATAGATGATGATGATGATGATGATGATGATGATGATGATGATGGTGATGCTGATGATGATGATGATGATGATGGAAATGATGATGATGATGATGATGATGATGATGATGATGATGATGATGATGATGATGATGATGATGATGGGGATGATGATGCTGATGATGATGATGATGCCGATGATGATGCTGATGATGAGGGGGAGCAGGAGGAGGACATATAACAATAGTATGACGAGGAGGAAAAACGGAGGTTTAGAAAGAAGAGGAAGAGGGACCCGTGCAAACCCAAACCTCATCAACGATGTTGCAACAAACCGTCCCTTCAACTTCCCTCATCGTTGGTACGTATAAGATTTGTTCCCGCTGCGGGGAAGCCCCGTTGGCCGCCGTGCCAAAACACAGTTCCTGGGACCGCAACGCAACACATTCACTTTATTGCTGCGTCCTGATGATTCATCCCTGGGATTCCCAAGCCGAAAATCAACGTGACTCTTGCGCCGTGGCAATTCTGCATTGTGCTAGAGCACAAGTGTTGGTACGGAAACCATAAAAGCCAACCGCTACGCTGTAGAAAATTAGAACGGGTGTGCGCGGCGCTGAAGCGAGAAACGCGTCGCCCCCCAGCCGTGAAATTATTGCACACGTTTCGAACGAATGTGCTCGACGGTACGGGGAGAACTGCATTCTGAAATCGGCCGGCGCCCCATCCGTGAACCTCCTACAATCTGCATTCTGAATTAGAGAAACACCCTCCATCTGTGAAACACATGCACACTTTTAAAACTTATGTGCGCAGCGCAAACGCGAGAATCACATTTAGAAGACCACCCACCGTCAGTCCGTGAAATTGTTGCGCATTTCAGGCTCCAATATCATGAATGGTGAGAAAATCTCACGCGAAACGCCCGACCCCCGCCCGACCGACACGTTTCGGGGAGCGACAAAGAGGAATCATTTAGAAGGAACGGAAATGGACGAGGAAGAGGGGGAGGAGATATGATAATGCTGATTATCAGCGAGAGAGAAAAGGAGGTGTGAGGAAAAAATGACGGAGCTGCATTTTTTGACGTGCGGTTGCGGGGGAGCTTGGTGTCGGGAACACCACATGTGGCAACGTGGTCTCCGACCCATGTCGAGTCTGGCCGCCTTGGCGGCACTACCTCAACGCGAATGCAACCAGGACGTCGGGGCCCGACCAGCTGGCCTGGAGAGAGCCCCCAGATCAACCTAGCCCTGCGCACCCAACCGAAATCAGCTGCGTGCAACAAGACAAGTGGGGAGCCCAACTTGGTCGTAAACTCCTGGCGGTGTTCGGCAGGCACGAACGCAGATTCTTCGACCGCCCGCCAAAAAGCGAGATCACGGCTACCGCAGCACTGCGAAACCGAATCTCGAAGGCGGCGAAATCTGTTAAAAGGCGACGACCTTTCATCGGCGAGCGTTCTATCCGGCGACGTTCGACGTGGTGCGCGGCGGGCAAAGAGGCCCCATGAACAGAAAAACAATGTCAGCGTCGCATTATTCGAAATGCGGTGATATCGCATCGGACGACCAGTTCTTGAGAACGCTCGCCCGGCGCACCCGGGGTTGGTGTCCACGAGCCAAGCGTCCAAGATGACACTGGGACTCGCACGCGCATCTGTCAACCCGCTGTGACCAGAGCGACGCCGCTAGGAAAACGGCTCCCAATCCATCGCATGTGGAAATCACATAGACGCGCGGAGGGCCCAAATCATCTGGCGGGGCTGTCGGGATCCCCGGAGCCCAGTTGCCGGGGAGGGCGTTTGGCGACAGTGCCGAACGTGCAGTCCCACCGGCGCCTGCCACCTCGCTCGCGCGACTCTGGTCGCTGCCTGGGCGGTCAGACGAGGGGCCGACCGCGGCGCGTGGGGGGGCGGGGGGCGACGGATGACGGGGCGGCGGAGGAGGGGGCGGGAGGGGGAAGGGCGAGGGAAGGACTGCCCAATGGCAGGCCGCAGTCGCCCTGAAGCGGGGGGGGGCGGTTCCAGCATGGGGGCTTCGTCCCCCGCTGACCCTCGGGGCGCGGCCCGCCCCCCCCCCTCGTCGTCGTCGTTGTCGTCGCGCCACCGCCCATCTTCCACTCCTTCCCTCCCCTCGCCTCCATTTCCTCTGCGCCTTTGCGCTCAACCCCGCGCGGACCGGCGGGCCGGGCGCAGGCAGAGGAGGGCCGATGGGGGGGGCGGCGGGGGCGGATGGCAGGAAAGAGCAGGAGGGAGAGGCAGGGAATGGGGTCGACCCGGGAAGGAGGGCTAGGCAAGAGCATGAGAAGACGTGGGCGGTGGGATTCTGCGCGCACAGCGGAAAAGGGGCGGAATATCACAAACAACGTGAAGAGCAATGCTGCCATTGCGTGAACATGAAATTGCTTATGGAAAGAATGAAAGAATGAATGCGCGAGCAGACGGGCGCCTCTCAACGCTTCCCGCACGACGACGCTCTGTGATTCCACGCGCCGTACAGATTGCAATGACGCAGGCGCTTCTTGGGGCAATCCCTGCCGAACCTCGCGCAACCGCGCTTGCTGTTGAAGGCGGCGCAAAACGGTTTCTGGGGCGCCTGCGGTTTCGGCGGTTGGCGCGGAGTCTGGGCAGGGCCCACTGCGGGCGCCGCTTTCCCAGGGCCGCGCCGCCGCTGCCGCTTCGGAAGGCTATCGGCACCAAGGCCGTCGTAACCATCCGAATTTGGCTCTGCTTTGGGGCCGATCGCCGCTAGCCGGCGGGCGACGCCGGCACCCGAGCAGTACCATTGCACCACGCACTGCACGTCCTCGGCATGGTTGATGGCCTCGCCCCAGGGCCAACCAGCGCCACGCAGGGCTCTGGCATTGGCGCGAGTGGCTTTGTCCCTGTCCAGCACCCACTGCACGATGCTCGCCTCGGGGCCCGGCCGCTCCATGCACTTGCGGAGCGCGAAGTCGTCGTAGGCGCGGGCTTCCTTCAGGTGGCAGTTCCTGGCCTTCCAGAAAGCCTTCTTCTTTACGTCGTACAACTGCTTCGGGTCCACGACGCTCGCGCCCGCCAGGCCCCCAGAGGTGGCGAGCAGTTTGAGCGCCCAGAGCACCTGCAGTAACGCGGAGGGAAGCATGTCCGGCGCCCGGGCGGAAGCGGCCATGGTGAGACCAGCGCCTCCTCCCAGGTCGCGTTTTTCCAAGTTGCCCTGGGCACGGGTGTCTGCGTCAGACCTGACATTTGACGAAGAGGTGAGCGACACGTTCCGCCGCGCGGACCTGAGCTCGCGATAGTACGGCCCACCACAGAAGGGGGCAGGCGAGGCCTCGACCTCGCGCGCGTAATGGTCGTAGGCCTCGCTGAAAACCTCTGACCAACGTCGCTCTTCGTCCTCCGGGAGCGGCGCGTTCCAATCTGGGTCGGGAGTGCCGTCCACGCGTTCTCTGCAAGCTTTGGTTAACTCGTTGCGAGCTAGTTGCCGGGCCGTGCGCAGGCGGGAAGGCGATTATGTCGGTCTTGTGAGCCTCCACCTTGTCGAGGACAAGGGTCTGCAGCTTGTCATCGTAATCTTCTTCTTTGAAGACGTTGGCGTAGTCGCTCATCGATTCAAGGCCGAACTCTCCGTCTGCGCGAGGTTTCGACAGGAAGGTGGCGATCTCTGGGACGGAGGAGTCCACGAGGAGCTTCTTGAGGCCATTGTTCTCGGCGCTGGTGCCGGCGGCCATGGCAGGCAATTGCAACAGCGATTCGAATGCTGCTCCTGCGGGGTGAAAGCGTTGCGCCGGGCACCGCTGCAATTTGAGCAACCGCATGGAAGACATGCAAACACTTGCCATCGCTCAGACGCCCATACCCTGTGCATGTTTCGGTTTCGTGCGTGATTTTGTTTGCTCGATAATCCAGGATGCTCCTCCAGGGTCCCCGCCGAGAAAAATGCACGCGTCCGAGCGATTCCCGGGAAAGGGGCGGGGCAGGGAAATAATGGGAGGAACGGGAGGGGGGGTGGGAGGACTGCCCGGAAGGAGGTTGGAAGAATCGGGAGGAAAACGGCCCCCTTTGGGGGGGGGGGGAGAGGGTAAAGAGAGGAGGAAGAGCGGGAGGGAAAAAAAGGGGTGGCAGGAGAGGGGTCCTTGGCGTCCTTCGTAGGTTCGCGGTCCAGCTCAAAAATCGCGGTGGGGCCCCCTCCTTTTTGCCGTTCCCTCTGCTCCCTCTCTCCCACTCCCACTCTCCCTCTCTCTCTCTCGCTCTCTCTCTCTCGCTCTCTCCCTTTCCCCTTTTCTATTTTTCCACTGCGGGACAGGCTTCAAGTCCACGCACGTGCGCACCCAGCGTCCCGAATCCATAGAGACTCAAACGTCGCTCTCTTGGAGCAGGCCACGCCGGCGCAATGCTGATCTGCATCGCGGAGACCAAAACTCTGCCAGCGCTGGCTGCCGAAGACACTCCGCGGCCCTCCTCGCATCCCCAGGCGAAGGGTGCATCCCGGCAGCGGCCTATGAAGGGGCCCTCTGGCGAGGCGCCGGCCGCAGCAAGATGAAGCTTGCTACGCGGGCCCTTCGGGAGCAACCAGCAGACGAAATCGACGTCGCCCAGAATGGAGTCGATGCCACTGTCGGCAGTGGCAGAGGGGCTATGGCCAGACTCCGATGTAGCCGCCGGTAGGGCCACTGGGTGGGCGCCACGAGCAGGGGGCACCGCCGGCGGTGCAGGGCGGAACGCCGCAGCCTGAGCTCCGACGGATATCGCTGCATTCCCCATTCGCCTCCAGCTACCTCACGTAGGAGGTCCTGCTGTCGATGAGCAAGACGGCGGACCGCTTCGTCTTCAGCAGCTGGATCCCGGCCGGCTTTGTGCAGCGCGGCCAAACATAGCCTCCGTGTTCCGGCGGAGGTCTCGAGCCTGGCGTCCGAACACCGAACAGCCATGGGCTCGCGTCGCCGGTTTGCCCCCGCGTCGCTGCGCTGCGGTGTGTCCGCCCAATTCCCTAAGCCCGCGCGACAGTCGGAGTCCAGGCGCAGGCGGTCGGCCACGCTCGGCAGCTTCCGTCGCAGGGAGTAGGTGGGCACCGCTCGTGCTTCAGGAGGCGTGAGCGAAAGAGGCGGCAACGTACAGGTGGCCCGTAAACAGCCCATGAATTTCGCATATGACGTTGCTGTGTGGCGGACCTCTGACTCGGCGGTGTAATCTGCCCCTGATAGACACGCAATATCAGGAACCAGGTAGCTGGCGCCAGGGCTGCGCGCGCGCAGCTCGTCAAAGAGCTGGCGGAACAGAGGCAGGTTGGGCTGGATGTACGTCGGCACAGCATAGAAAAAATTCGCCCCGTCGGGTTCTCCCTTTGCTCACCGTGCCGATGAGGGTGCGGCCAGGGCACCGCTCGTCAACGAACGCATGCCGCTGGGCATGGCTAAACCTCAGGCAGGAGACCGCAATAATTATCACCCGTTTGGCAAAGAGTGCGATTGATCCAGTCTGGGAAGTGGCCAGCCCGACTATACGACGCCAGACCCGTAGCTCGATCTCTCGGGCCACTGGGCGGACTGAACGACCAGCTGGGGGTCTGCTGTGCTGCACCACCGACGGCGAATCGAGTGGGAGTCGGATAAGACCCAAGGGGTCAGACAGCCACTTCAGGCCTGTCCACAGTCCGTTCGCTGCGGTTGGCCCCCCAGCAGTCGCATCGTCAAACCACGCTGCAAGGTCCAGCGCTGCTGGGGCGGAGGCGGATCCCACTAGCGGCTGCTGCTGCACTTACTGTTGCCCGCGGCGCAACGTATTGCCCGCGTGGTTGATGCCTCGCGAGTCGACTCGCAACGCCAACTGCCAGGCGAAACGGTCGAGCCACGCTGGCCGGCCGCCTCCGCGACGCAGTCCTCTTGGTGGAAACGACTATACGCGCGGAGGTCGACCATATCAGTCTTGTAGCGGCCGCGGCCGCGCAAACTCGTTTGTTGGCGTCTGCGTCCGCAGTGGCGGCGCTGCGCGGCAGGGGTTGCCAGTTGGCCTGGGCGCGCGGGGCAAGACCGACGCGCGGCACATTGGGAGGTGGTTGCTCTATGCTTGCGCATGTCCGCGAGCGCCCTGGGACTAAGTGAGTGCCGCCTTCGATCGGACGCCGCTGTTGCTGACGCAAGACCGCGATGGCGGTGTCTCGCACTGCCAACAGCCCTGCGAAGCAGGGTGTGCCAGTCAGCCGAGTGAATTCTTCGGGGCGCAATCCAGCGAGGTCAGAGGGCTGGCACCCAGCACGGGCTAATGTCTCTACCTCAACCAATGTTGCATCCCCCCAGTGTGGCGGAACGCCCTCCGGATCCATAGCGGCGCGCGGCGGGAGGGGGGAAACTAAACCCTCGCCTGCGCACCCCTCGAGCCGAGAGGGCTGCGACGAGGTGCACACTCCCTCCTGACGATAACCCCCATCAGAACCTACCCTGCCCTCCAAAAACTGATAGGAGCGATGCTGGCGATAATGATGATGATGATGACGACGATGATGATGATGATGATGGTGATGATGAGGATGAGGATGATGATGATGATGATGATGATGATGATGATGATGATGATGATGATGATGATGACGCTGATGATGGTGTTGATGACGATGGTGATGATGGTGGTGATGATGATAAGGAGGAAGTGGAGGAGAAGGAGGAGAAGGATGAGGAGGAGGAGGGAGCAGGGAGGAGGGAGGAGTGGCCGCGGCTGAGGGGCGCGAGTCCGCCGAAGGCAAGCTGGCCCCACGGCCAGCCATGTGCGGCAGACGACGGCGCAGCCGGGAGGCTCGGCGAGAGCCCCCCTCAGCCAACTGACCAGGATGAGGACTCCAAGGTGTTGCAGATGGCCCTGAGGGTAGGCATAGCCCTGTCGAGTCGGGTGGGGCACACGGGCTCTCCCATCCTTGAAGCGGTGATCGTGAAGGTTGGGAGAATCAACCTTCCACTGCCAGGACTCTTACTGGGACGGGGGGGGGGATGAAGAGGGAGGAGTGAGGGAGGGAGGAGGGAGTCGTCGTTTTCCAGCTCAGGAAATCGCAACCGTTGGAACCTACAACTCGTTCGAGTCAGGGCTCCAGGGAGGAGTCTCCTACGCGGCCGGTGCTCAGCAACACTGTGAGCTCTGGCTGCACATGCAGCCCATCGGACCGAGCGGGCCCTGAGGGAGGAGGGAGGGAGGAGGGGGGGTGGATGGAGGATGACACATGAGGAAGGAAGAGGAAGGAGGAGGGAGGAGGGAGGAGAAGAGATCAAGCCCAAGACGCACCATCGACGCTGCGATGCTGAATACTCCAGATTTCGTAATAAAGGGAGGGGGGTCTCATTTCGGGGGGGGTCTCTTCCAGGCTATCTTGGAGGGCCTGGGGGGTCTGGGGACGATATTTTGGAGGGTTCTCCCACGGGGGAGGTCTGAAATGGCTTGTCTTGGGGGGTCCAGACCCCCTCCCTTTTATTACGAAATCTGGAGTACACCCTCCCGTCCAAGCGCCCCACCGTAGAAGCCCCTCCAGGCCCTCCCTCCTCCCTCCCCCCTCCTCCCTCCTCCTCCTCCTCCTGCTGCTCCTCCTCCTCCTCCTCCTCCTCCTCCTCCTCGCAGAAGCCCCTCCAGGCCCTTCCTGTACGCTGCGAGGAGTGCCCCCCTGGAAAGACGGGAGCCCCGCGGGCCTGCCGTTCAGGCGGGAGTCCCGTAACTGCCTTGCGTCCTGCAAGCAAATCCTCCTCCTCCTCCTCCTCCCCTCCTCCTCCTCCTCCTCCTCCCCCTCCTCCTCCTCCTCCTCCTTCCTCCTCCTCCTCCTCCTCCTCCTCCTCCTCCTCCTCCTCCTCCCACCTCCCTCCTCCTCCTCTCCACTCCTAGCCATTTCGATCAGGGTCGGCGGCACCGGTCGTCAAGCCTCTCCAATCGACAGGGGCGAGGAGAGGTACGAAGGTAACATTCAACCGGGACTCCGACAATAACCCTACTTCGAGAAAAGGGACCGATCCCAGCCCGTGCAACTGTTGCATCTGAGGGCATCTCAACATCGAAGGCATCCTTTTGAATATGGGGACGCCCTGCATTCGCGCATCTGCGACATACGTAGTATTATGGTCTCTGACTTGGCTCCGTTGAACGAGAGCCCAATGTTAAAAAGGAATCGCCATCCATCCTCCAAATTGTTGCAAGCCTGTTGAGACAGACGTGCGCAGCGCCATGGCGATAGCCCCATGTAGAAAAGGAGACGCCCTCCATGTGTGATACGAATTACAAACTTCGGAGACGATTGTGCGCGGCACTAAAGCGGGATCCCCACTCTGGAAAGGAAGCGCCCTCCATCAGTGTAGCTGTCGCAAACTGTGGTTCGAACACTAACGTGCGCGGCGCTAAGGCGAGAGCCCCATTCTGAAAAGGACCGACCTCCATTAGCACAACTGATTCAAGCTTTGAGACGAATGCGCGCGACACAACCTGTCTTTGACAAGGAACCTACCTCCATCAAGATTGCGGCTGCAACATTTTGCAGGCGATTGTGCGCGGCTCCGAGGCGAGAGCCAGGCACACAGCAACACACGCACACACAGACACCCTGCATCCTACAACAACAAGCCACCCCCGGATGGGCGCGGCGCTCAAGCGAGAGCCCCAATAACAAAAACGACCACCCCTCCATCCGCGCTGCTGTTGGAGACATCTCCAGGATCATAACGTCTCCCCCCCAAACGGCACTGAGAACCTCACTGGACGACCGAAG